GGGGGGCGGGGGCCCCCGCCCCGAGGGGCGGGGGCGGGTCCTTCCGTGTCGCTCCCCTCGTCGGGAGTGTCCGTCGGGATGGTGTTGTCCGCCCACTCGGCAGCGTTTGAGCCTCTGTCACCTTGCCTGCCGCGAGCAGCTAGCTCGTCGACGTAGTCGTTCCATTTGTTGCCGCTGTGACCCGCCACATGCCTCCACGTCACGGTGTGTTTGGCGCGAAGGCGTCGCCAGAGGGAACGAAGGCGCTCCGCTAGCTGTCTGTTCGTTTTGGGGGTCACCCTCCCCATCATGCACGCCGCCGCGTACTCGCTGTCGGTCCGCACTACTCCGCGTGAGCCCGCTCGTTGCGGTGACGAGGACAGGAGAGCCCGGAGGAGCTCGGCTAGGGCGGTTAGTTCCGCCGTGTTGTTGGTATGCCTGCGCGCGCCGAGGTAGGCTGGGTGCGCCGCCGAAGTGACAACTGGCCCGTAGCCCTCGCTCGCCAACGACGCGCCCCTATCGCCGATTGCGTCGCCCCCGATGAGTACTGTATAGGCCCACCCTGCTTTCCCTAGGTCTTCCGACCCGTCTGTGTATGCCACCCAGTCGGGCGGGCGTCGTTGCGCCTGCTCTGCCAGTTGCTGCTGTGGGCGAAGAACGACCCCTGGTGCCTCGACCATTAGTCTCAGCTTGACCCGGCATGCCCCCCCTTCACCCTGAGGCGCTACACAGAGGAGTGCGACTGTGCTCACCGCGCAGCCGTTTGCCGCCACCCCTCGGACAGATTCGAGCGTCTCGGGGAGCTCGCACTCACCTTCGCTGGTGGCGGCTGCTGCGGTCGTAGGTCCTCAACTCTCAGGTCTCAGCTCGAGGACCTCTGCTGTGAGAACCTCACTCTCTCGCTGTATGGCACACGACCTCGATCGCCAAAGTCGCGTCACTGCACCGGTCCGCTATCCTCTCCCTCTGTCTCCCTTTCTTCGTCTCCACTCACACCACCATCTTACTCCCTGTCTATCTTGCTGTCTGGCGCGTCTTCCCGGACAGTAGGCGTTTAAATGCAACAGCCAGATGGTAAGCCAGATGAGGGAGGATGTTGTGGCTAGACGCTAGTTCCACATTTCACAGACGTGCTGCTGGTTCCAACCAAACGTGGTGGTGTTCGTGGCGACGTCGTGACACGGGCGCGCGGCGCAGAATGCGTGTGGTGGTGACTTTGCGTCGCCGGCATCGTTCGGTCCGCCCGCGGCGCCGCGTGTGCGACGTTCACAGCGCGTCGGTGGGAACAGCGTTCCGACACATGGCCTCCATGGTCGAGTACGAGGCCGACCGCCTCTACGGCGCGCGACGGGCCTTCGGCGCATCATCGCGTGCCGAAGGCTTCCTGTTCGGCGTACGGCCCGACGTGTGGCCTCTCGACGCCCCGATACTTCCGCTGGTGCTGCCCGACCTTCCCAATCTTGGCCCGCCGCCCAATCTCCGGAGCTCGCGACCGCAGGCACAAAATCAGACGATTTTCTACGGGACGCAGCCGCTCAAGACGTACAACCCTTCGCTCGCCGCGGCGCCGCGCGGCCTGTGCCCACGCTGCGCCTTTGTCCTCGCGCTGCGCGTCGACGGCCTCCACCAGTGCTCGTCGTCGACGACGCCGTACAGGAGCGAGCAAACCTTGGCGGAGACCGACTGGTTCCAGGGCACGGCGATCGCCGTGCTGGACGCGAGTCTGGCGATCTTGGGTTGGACCTGGCTCGTCAACTCGCCGCCCTATCAGATCGCCACGAAAGGGGCCAACCCGGCCGCCGTGCGCGCGGCACGATGCATGCAGCACGGCGCCTCGGACCATTCCTTCCTGCCCTCGTGGGCCAAGCAGACCTTTGACGCACGGATCTTCAACGTCGCCGGCGGGCTGGTGGTGACGTACGCGTGCCCGGCGTGCCTCTTCTCCCTCTCGCCGCTCCGCCTCAGCGCGCAGCCCACCGCCGACGGCGGCGTCTCTCAGCTGCGCGCCTGGGCACCCCACCGCATCACCTACCCGAGCGTGAAATGGACCAACGGGCGCAACCAGGTGCTCTTCACGTACCGCCCACCGCCGCGGCCGTCGGCGGCGCGCAACGTCAGCAGCGGTGCTGCCGGCGCGGCCGAGGAGCGCGACGTGCGCGAGCGTCTGATGATCCAGCCGCGCCTGGGTGTGATTGGCAGCCTGGGCCGGCCGCGCTTTGCCGTGCATGGGCGGCGTGTGTGCCGCACGCACGTGCCGCGCAACCCCACGCGGCCCTTCCCGCCGGTGCCGAGCGCGGCCAACTGCCACGGCGACTTTGGCCGCGACCCGGACTGCGGCACGTTCCCGGACGGCTCCACGATCGACGTCGTCCGCTTCGAGGGCGTGTGGGAGAAGCGGGCGAAGCTGCGGAACGACTCGCGCGCGCACGTGGAGGCGTCGCTGCGCGCGAGCGGGCTCTATGGGGGGCTCTCGCTCACGAGCAACCTCGTCAAGGTGCGCTGGCGCGAGGCGGGCGCCGACGGCGGCGGCGGCGGCGCGAGTGGTGGCGGCGCGGGCGGCGGCGGCTGGTTTGGCGGCGGCTTGCTTCGCAGCGGCGGTGCGGGCAGGGGCGCCGCGGCGGCCAACGGCACGGGCGCCGGGTGCGAGGTGTTGCTCGGCGTCGGGCACTTGCACCGCGGCGAGGGCACGCGCAACCGCATCCTCCACCGGCGCCGGGCCAACGGCCCCTCACCGTGGGAGCAGACGCAGTCGCGCGTGCGCCGGCGGCAGCCCTTTGCCTTTGGCTACCGTTACACGCACTTTTGGTACGTGCTCTCGGCGCGGTATCCCTTTGAGGTGCTCGGCGCGAGCGGCGAGTTCTGCCTCGCGAGCGCGCAGGACGCGGCCGACTGCGAGAGCATCCAGTTCGTTTCGGCGCTCGCCCACGCGACCCCCGAGGCCATGGCCGCGCACATGCCGCGCCAGGCCGCCGGCGCACGCGCGCTCCGACCGGTTCGCAAACGTGGCGTGTGGAACCTCGGCTCACAAAGCACGCCGCCGCCGCAGTCGAGCCGCGCGACGCTGATGCTGGCCTACGGTGTGAACGACTGCGAGGCGCGCGTCGGCTTTGTCGAGCTTGCGCGCGTCCTTCGCGCCGTGCGCCCGCTGGTGCCCGGCGGCCGGATCTGCGCGTGAGATCGCGGTGAGACCCTCGGGCGCCGCGGGTATGGACGCGCGTGGGAGCGCACGGCGTCTTGTAGGCGTTAGGACTCTCTCAGATGACGATTGCGCCACGATCGTGGCAGTGGTCAGTCAGCCGAGCTCCGGCATCCACCTCCAAGTATCCTCCAAGTCCATGATTCTTGATTGTCCAGCTCCAATGTACTGGTTGTGACGGCGGAGTTGACGCCTCCGACGGTCGTAGCGGCGTGGCTGAGGGCGGCGGTGGAGGCGCCCGATAGCGCGGTGAGGATGGTCTCATGGGTCTAGCAAACCATAGACGACACCAAGAGAACGCGAGGTAAAACCCGACGGCTATGGATGGTAAAAGGCGGCGGTAAAACCCATCCACACGGGTTTCGGTGGGTTGGATGGGAGGTAGAATGTCTACCTACCGCACCCCCCCCAATGTCGCTGGGCGGGATCGGCCCGCAGAGGCGGCATTGATCAGTTCCCCCCATGCACCGCGCGAGCTCGCGCGTTGGAGGCGTGGTCGACGCTGCGCTTGAGCTTCTCCTTGGGGACCCATTTCGTCAAGGAATCGGCGGGCATGAGGTCGTCGGTGATCTTGACGACGCGGCACTCGCCGTCGGCCATGCGGCGCTGCAGCGTGTGGTAGCGGCGCAGGAAGTGGCGCGAGCGCGAGGCGGATTTGAGCTGCGGGCGGCCTGCGAGGAGGTCGTGCGCAGGGTGGCCCCGCTAGACATCTGGCTCTACGATCACGTGCGCACGCTCTTTGCGCACCGCCTGGAGGCACTGGGCGCGGCATTCGCCGCGCGCGTCAGCGCATTTAGAGCGTCCTCGGTCGGCGTCTTCAGCGGCGGCCCACCGGCGAAACCCCGGTGCCGGTTTCGAAGGCGTGCCAACGCCACCCTGCCCGATTTTGAGGGCCGAGGCGCAGCGGCGCCTGTGTGCCGCGCGCTCCAGCAGCCTCAGGGGGTTGGCGAGGCCGCCTGGCGCGACCGTGGCTTTGTAAAGGCGGCGGAGCTTGTGGTTGTGCCACCCTGCAGCGCGGCCGCGGCCCGCGCCGTCGGGTGCGGCGCGGGTCGGCGTCCTCACCGGCCTCCAGAGACGGCGCGATACTAGGTTGGCTTTTTAGGCATTGTGTTTTGTGGGGTCTGTGTCAAGGCTCTTGTTCTACGTAGAAAGAGGTGAGCGCAAGTATAGTACACTCCACCACAGCGGCTTCTCTGGCGACAGTCGACATCGTGTTTTGGGCCCCCGCGCCCCTCCTCTCCACCTCGCGCCCGCGCCCCGCCGGGGCAGACAGCAGACCGCTCCGCGCCGCCGCCGGCGCGCCGCCGCCGAGCGCGCCTCCATGCACCGTGACCCGCGAGGCCTCCCCGCCGCGGCGACCACGGCGAGGGCGATCCGGCGCCGCGCAGCGCCGCGCGCGCGGTCGACTTCAGCCGCGCCGCTTGGAGAGGCGCCACGCGTTGGGGTCGTTGAAGCGGTCGTACAGCGGCTCGATGCGCTCGTTGCGCTTCCGCTTGGAGAGGTGGCGCGGGTCGGCCTGCTGGTAGTAGCGCGGCGCGAGCTCGGTGAGCCACTTTGGCTCGATGGCCATGCACTCGCGCATGTACTCCTTGGAGGTGAGGACGAGCTCATGGTAGATGCACCTAAGCAAGCAGTCAGCCAAGTAAGTGAGGGATTCGTTCAATGAGGGCAGGATCGTGGTAGAGGCACCTAAATGATACACGAATGAATGAATGATCTCATTCTTGGAGGAGGGGAGGGCCGCGGCAGACGCACCACTCGGGGTTGCGGTTGAAGAGCGCGGAGGAGGGGTGGATGTACACGACCTGGCCCTCGTCCATCGTCTTGTACCCCTCCTGCGGGTCCTTCTTGGCCGCGTGCGTGAAGTAGCCCGACGTGATCGCCTTGCGCACCTTTGTGAAGTTGCGGCCGCACGTCTCGATCTCCAGCTTGTACCGGTCCATGATGGTGAGCAGCTGCTTGCGCACGTCCTGCGCCTTGCGCATGTTTCGCGCCTGGATGAAGTTCTCGAAGCACCACGGGTTTGAGAACTTGGCCGCCGCCCAGCCTTGGTAGACGGCGAGCAGCGTGATGTGGTCGCCCTCCGCCTGGAAGAGCGCCACCCCTCAGTCAATCAACGAGTGCGTGAACGAGCTACCTAACCAGCCCTCCGCCTGGAAGAACTTGGAGCGCTTCTGGTCCGCCTGCGCCTGCTTCTCCTTCGGGCGGTACCAGATGTTTTGGACGGAGAGCATCGCAACCACCGTGAGCACCTCGTCGGAGCAGCCCAGCTCGACCGAGGCGATCAAGATCTTGGACATCGGAGGCTCGAGCGGGAACTCGGCCATGCGGCGGCCGAGGCGCGTGAGCAGCCCCTCCTCGTCGAGGGCAGAGAGCGCGTACAGCGCCTCCATCGCCGCGACGAGCGTCTGCACGGGCGGCGCGTCCATAAAGTCGAAGTGGAGCAGGTCGTTGACGCCCATCGCCTTCATCTGCAGCACGGTGTTGCCCAGGTTCGTGCGCTGGATCTCCGGCACGTTGGTGGGCAGCATCTCGTTCTTGTACGCCTGCTCGGCAGCGAGGACGTATGATTGGTGTAACCGGCTACTTCCCCGTGGGTTCGGGTACCGTGGGGGTAGGGGAGGGTTGGTTCGGGTACCATGGAGTAGGGGAACGCCTGCTCGGTGTAGAGGCGGATGAGCTTCCCGAGGGAGATATGGGGAGATACGGGGAGATATGGGGAGGTCGCCTGCTCGGTGTACAGGCGGTAGCACTTGCCCGGACCGGTGCGGCCGGCGCGCCTACAGACGGTATTGTGCAGCGTGTTGAGAGCACCGCGTGAAGACAACAGAGAGGAGGACAGTGAATACAGCGGAATACAGCGGAATACAGCGGAGTGCAGCGGAATGCAGCGGAGTACGTGCCCTCTCGAGCGCTGGTTGGGAGACATGAATGCGTGGGTGCGGCCGGCGCGCCCCGACCGCTGCCGCGCCGACGCCTGCGAGATCGGCACCACCACCAGCGAGTCCATGCCGACCTTTGCGTTGTACACCTTCTGCTTGACGAAGCCTAGAGGGCGGGTTCGGGCCCCGTGGGGTAGGGGAAGGTGGGTTCGGGTACCGTGGGGTAGGGGAGGGTGGGCTCACCGGGGTCGACGACGTAGAAGATGCCGTCGATCGTGAGGGATGCCTCGGCGATGTTTGTCGCGATGACCCCCTTGCGCGAGCCGGGCGGCGCGGCCTCGAAGATGCGCCTAGGAGCAGACGCATGCCGCGTTGTAGTTCTTCTTTGGGGGGGGGGGGGGGGGTGCCGCCGCGCGTAGAAATAGAGACATCAGGCAGCAGGGATGATGGGCATATCTGGGCTATATCTCGGCTCGATCTCGGCTCTATCTCGGCTCCATCTCGCGTCTGCTGCTCGGACGGGAGCGCAGAGTAGACGGGCAGGATGATGAGCTCCGGCAGCGACGGGCCGAGCGACTTCATCCGCTCAAAGAGGATCTGGCAGGCGGTGTCGATCTCCTCCTGCCCCGTGAGGAAGAGGAGGACGTCGCCGGGCGGCTCCTGCAGGTGGATCTGCATCACCGTGATGAGGGCCGCGTCCATGTAGTCCGCCTCGGGCGCCTGCAGGGAGGGTCCAGGAACGGTCTAGGAAGAGTCTAGGAAAGGCCGCGTCCATGTAGTCCGCCTCGGGCGCCTGCATGCAGGTATGCAGGTGTGCACAAGGGTCGAGGGAGGGCTCTGCAGGCTCGCGCGAGGAGATATGAGGGAGGTACGAGGGAGGTACGAGGGAGATATGAGGGAGGTACGAGGGAGATATGAGGGAGGTACGAGGGAGGTACGAGGGAGGTACGACGTAGAAATGAGGGGAGATATGAGGGAGGTACGAGGGAGGGACGAGGGAGGGACGAGGGAGAGATGGCGCCTTTGTGTAGAGGACCTCGACCGGGAAGGTGCGGCCTACAGGAAGGTTCCAGGAACGGTCTAGGAGCAGTCTAGGAACGAGCACCGCGACCGGGGAGGTGCGGCCGGGGATGGTGAAGATCGGGCACTCGAAGAAGTAGGACGAGTACTTCTCCGCGTCGAGGGTCGCCTACAGGGAGGCTCCAGGAGCGGTCTAGGAACAGTCTAGGAACGAGCACGCCTCCGCGTCGAGGGCCGCCGAAGTGCAGATGAGCTTGAGGTCCTTGCGGCGGGCGAGCAGGCCCTTGAGCAGGCCGAAGAGGACGTCGGTGTGAATCGTGCGCTCGTGCGCCTGGTCGAGCATGATGGGCGAGTTGATTACTTGTGGTTAGTTAATCAACTTGTTCATTCATTCACTCGTGCGCCTCGTCCAGCACGATGAGCTAATTGACACACTGATTAACTAGCTAGCAGTTAATTCATCTGTTGAGTAGCGCCTCGTCCAGCACGATGAGCTAATTGACACACTGATTAACTAGCTAGCAGTTCATTCATCTGTTGAGTAGCGCCTCGTCCAGCATGATGAGCGAGTAGCGCGACAGGTTGGTGTCGACGAGGCACTCGCGCAGCAGCATCCCGTCAGTCATGTACTTGAGGATCGTCTCGGGCGACGTGCAGTCCTCGAACCGGATCGAGTATCCAACCTCCTGGCCCAGCCGGCAGCCAAACTCCTCGGCCACTCGCTTGGCGACCGACATCGCGGCGACGCGGCGCGGCTGCGTGCAGCCGATGATGCCGCGCGACGTGAAGCCCGCCTAGCGCCACGCCTCCCAGAGTGGTCGACCCCAGTGTGTGTGGGGGGGGCTCAGGCTCCGTGGGCGGTGTGGCAGCGACTGCCTCGGCCATGAACTGTCTAGGAACTGTCTAGGAAGTGTCTAGGAAGTGTCTAGGAAGTGTCTAGGAAGTGTCTAGGAAGTGTCTAGGAAGGGACTGCCTCGGCCATGAACTGCGTCATCTGCGTCGTCTTGCCGGAGCCCGTCTCGCCAATCACGACGAGGACCTGGTGAATCAACATATTCATTCATCAACGACTCTGTTAACTAGAGCCCGTCTCGCCAATCACGACGAGGACCTGGTGAATCAACATATTCATTCATCAACGACTCTGTTAATTAGAGCCCGTCTCGCCAATCACGACGAGGACCTGGTGAATCAACATATTCATTCCTCAACGACTCTGTTAATTAGAGCCCGTCTCGCCAATCACGACGAGGACCTGGTGAATCAACAGATTCATTCATCAACGACTCTGTTAATTAGAGCCCGTCTCGCCAATCACGACGAGGACCTGGTTCATCAACATATTCATTCCTCAACGACTCTGTTAATTAGAGCCCGTCTCGCCAATCACGACGAGGACCTGGTGAATCAACATATTCATTCCTCAACGACTCTGTTAATTAGAGCCCGTCTCGCCAATCACGACGAGGACCTGGTGAATCAACATATTCATTCCTCAACGACTCTGTTAATTAGAGCCCGTCTCGCCAATCACGACGAGGACCTGGTGAATCAACATATTCATTCCTCAACGACTCTGTTAATTAGAGCCCGTCTCGCCAATCACGACGAGGACCTGGTGAATCAACATATTCATTCCTCAACGACTCTGTTAATTAGAGCCCGTCTCGCCAATCACGACGAGGACCTGGTGAATCAACATATTCATTCATCAACGACTCTGTTAATTAGAGCCCGTCTCGCCAATCACGACGAGGACCTGGTGAATCAACATATTCATTCATCAACGACTCTGTTAATTAGAGCCCGTCTCGCCAATCACGACGAGGACCTGGTTAATCACCATATTCATTCCTCAACGACTCTGTTAATTAGAGCCCGTCTCGCCAATCACGACGAGGACCTGGTGAATCAACATCATTCATTAACGACTCTGTTAATTAGAGCCCGTCTCGCCAATCACGACGAGGACCTGGTGAATCAACAGATTCATTCATCAACGACTCTGTTAATTAGAGCCCGTCTCGCCAATCACGACGAGGACCTGGTGAATCAACATCATTCATTAACGACTCTGTTAATTAGAGCCCGTCTCGCCAATCACGACGAGGACCTGGTGAATCAACAGATTCATTCCTCAACGACTCTGTTAATTAGAGCCCGTCTCGCCAATCACGACGAGGACCTGGTGAATCAACAGATTCATTCCTCAACGACTCTGTTAATTAGAGCCCGTCTCGCCAATCACGACGAGGACCTGGTGAATCAACATATTCATTCATTAACTGCTCTGTTAATTAGAGCCCGTCTCGCCAATCACGACGAGGACCTGGTTAATTAACAGATTCATTCATCAACGACTCTGTTAATTAGAGCCCGTCTCGCCAATCACGACGAGGACCTGGTGAATCAACATATTCATTCCTCAACGACTCTGTTAATTAGAGCCCGTCTCGCCAATCACGACGAGGACCTGGTGAATCAACAGATTCATTCATTTACTACTCTGTTAATTAGAGCCCGTCTCGCCAATCACGACGAGGACCTGGTGAATCAACATATTCATTCCTCAACGACTCTGTTAATTAGAGCCCGTCTCGCCAATCACGACGAGGACCTGGTGAATCAACAGATTCATTCATCAACGACTCTGTTAATTAGAGCCCGTCTCGCCAATCACGACGAGGACCTGGTGAATCAACATATTCATTCCTCAACGACTCTGTTAATTAGAGCCCGTCTCGCCAATCACGACGAGGACCTGGTTCTCCGCGACGGCGTTCACCAGCTCCTGCTTCAGCGCCTATTCGCAGTGAACGAGCAGTTATTCACTCATGCGTACGTCGAATCAGCCCGCTCCTGCTTGAGCGCCGCGATCGGCAGCGAGGCGCGCTGCTCCTGGATCGACTTGTTCTTGGTCGGGAAACCGATCGAGAAGCCCTTGCCCATCGACTTGACCTAGAGAAAAGAACGACGGCGCGCTAAAAAAGAAGGACGCCGCGCCGGTAGCCTTGCCCCATCGACTTGACCTTCCACTCCGGCACCGCCTCCTGCGTGTAGCCGAGGCCGCGCAGCTCCTGCGCGATGTGCCGCTCTCCCGGCTCCGGCATCGGGTCCTCCCACGGCCGGTTGAGGTCCTACGCAATCTCGTGCAATCTCGCGTCATCTCGCGTCATCTCGGGCGATCTCGGGCCGGTCGAGGTGCTAGGAGCTACGGCCGGCGGGGCTTGCGCTAAGTCTTCAGAGCACCGCGTGAGTACGGAGGAGTACGAGGACAGTGTGAAGACGGCCGTGACGGCGTCTGGAGGCGGCGGAATACAGTGGGGAGCTCCCGCTGCGAGGCAAGCGTACGTCCCCCGCTTCTAGGGGGTTGGCGTCCTTGGGGATTGCGTCCATCAGCGCTCGCTGCTGCGAGTCGCGCAGCTCGCGCCGCTCCTAATGAAACGATTAATCAACAGATTGATTACAGATTAACTAGCGAGTCGCGCAGCTCGCGCCGCTCCTTGGCCAGCGCCGACTGCGTCATCGCGGCGCGCTGCAGCGAGCCGTCGGGGTTGCGGACGATCTTGATCGGGGACATGGCGACGGAGGCCTTGGTCTGGCCGCGGAGGAAGAGGGGCTCCGCCTCGTTGAGCTCGATCTCGAGCTCCTCCTCGGTGGCCTATTGGTAATGAAGAATGGTAACTAATTAACAGGAAGTAACTAGCAGTCTCCAGCTCCTCCTCGGTGGCCTATTGGTAATGAATGGTCACTAATTAACTAGGAAGTAACTAGCAGTCTCCAGCTCCTCCTCGGTGGCCTATTGGTAATGAATAATGGTGGTTAATTAACTAGGAAGTAACTAGCAGTCTCGAGCTCCTCCTCGGTGGCCTCGAACGTGTTGGCGAGGCCGTGCTCCTCGTCGAACTGCGGGGAGGGGGCGGCGGGGTGAGGGGTCAGAGGGCAGATGTGGAAAAGGTGGAAGGGAGGAGGCATGTGCGAAGGAGGGAGGGAGGGAGTGGGTGGGTGGTGGGTGGGGGGGGGGGGCATGTGTGAAGGGGGAAGGGCGAAAGGCAAGGGGTGGGTAAGGGGTAAGGGGGGGCAGGGAGGGCACCTGCGGGTAGTCGCGCACGTCGAGCACGCCGCTCGCGATCAGCTGCTTGGCCTCGAACAGCTCCGGCGAGGTCAGCCGCTTCGCGGGCCTAAAAAAAGAAAGTCGGCCCGCCGCGCTCACTCCGAGAGAGGTGTGAAGGCGAGGTCAGCCCCGTGGCGGGCCGGTGCGGCTCGTCGCGCTTGCTCACCGCCGACAGCCGCTTCCGCTCCTCGGCGCGCACCTACACGTGCACACACATCGCGCTCCCTCTGTCTCTGTCTCCGTCTCTGTCTCTGTCTCCTCCCTCCCTCCCTCCCTCCCTCCCTCCCGTCCTCTCTCTTCTCTCTCTCCCTCTCTCCTCGCACCGGGTCGTCTGGCGGCCGCATCGGGTTGGAGCGCGACGGGCCCGCCCCGCCAGGCACGCGCATCGCCGGCGTGAGGTCGGCGCCTGCACGGGGTTCGTCAATTGGAGGAAGTGTCTAGGAAGTGTCTGGGAGGTGTCTGGGAGGTGTCTGGGAAGTGTCTAGGAAGTGTCTAGGAGGTGTCTAGGAGGTGTCTAGGAGGTGTCTAGTAACTGTCTAGTACGTGTCTGGGAAGTGTCTGGGAAGCGTCTGGTCGGCGCCCGTCTGCTGGTCGGCGTCCCGCAAGGAGAGGGACATCTTGGAGCCGGTGGTGGAGAGGACCTTGACGAAGCAGGGCTGCCCGCGCTTCAGCGCGTCGTGCGGCGATCGCAGCGGCTGCGACTGGATCAGCGACACGTGCACCAGGCCCTCGGCCTTGCCGCGCACGCCGCTCAGCTGCACAAACGCGCCAAAGTCCATCACGTTTGTGACGCGGCCGGCGTACACCTTGCCCGGCTCGGCCGCCGCGTCGGCGTCGCGCGAAAAGTCGCGCGCCAGCGCCGCGCCGCTGCTGCCGCCCCCGCCCCCGCTGCTGCTGCCCGCGCCGCCGCCGCCGCGCCCGCCCGGCGGCGGCGGCGGAGGCGGAGGCCGCCGATCGGCGGGGCGGCCGCCGATGGCGGGGTCGACCGCCGCGCGCGCGCCGAGGGCCTCCTCCTCCAGCTTCCGCAGCCGCTCCGGGTCCGCGTTCGGGATCGCCAGCCCGGAGAAGCGCTCGGTCGGCCCGGACGAGGACGACGCGGCGGCGCTGGCCGCGGGCGCCGACGGCGCGGGGCGCTTGCGCGGCGCCATGGTCTGCACGAGGTGGAGGAGCGTCGACGCAAAGT